TCTATATTATAATTTTTGCAAAAAAAGAACCCTACACAGTTGAATATTTTTGAAAATTATCTTACTTAGTTAGAGAAATTATTTCAACAATTAGCAAAATACTGCTATAAATTTAAAAATTGTTTACAGTCTATTTCTTGTCATCTTTCAATAATTTATAACCAACATACATCGCTACTCCTATCATTATATTCTCCAAAGTAAATAAGTCTCAAACCCAATGTCTATCATCTAAATTGGAAACTGTTCCGGAGATAACGCTATTATTATTTTTAAATTGTTGTTATTTTGCTAATTTTTAACAGATTAGCAACTGTCTTTAAAGATGGCAATTTAGTAAGGATGCGAACTTACTTTATTGTTGTGATTTTGTTTATTATGGCTTTTTAGCCTTAATTCTTTCTATTTCTTAACGCCATAAATGGCGTTATATTCTCCTCTTTTCAAGTTGCCGTGATTGTTATGATATTTAGACGAATATGATTGTTTGTCATGATTTCCCTGCTTCATATAACTTTTTAATTTATTTTTATAGTAGTTTTTTCCTTTAAAAGGAAATTTATTAAATATCATAGCAAGATGATTAGCATTAAAATTCTCTAATATGCCAACTCTCAATTTAAACAATATCACTATCAAAAAACTGCAAGATGGAAATTTGCAGGATTATTATTTAATTGTTAATAAGACCTACCCAAATAAACCATATTCTGGGCTGCTAATTGACAAAAGAGACATTTCTGGGACTTGGTTGGTTTTTTTTTCAAGGACAATACACCTAATAGTATATGAAGGCACTCTTTTCTTTATATTTGCTTCACAATCTAAATTATTACAAAAAGGAATTAGGAACAATCCTTTTACTCCATCTTTGATTTTTTCTTCTAATTGTTGGTAGTTATCTACTAGAAAAATATGTTTATCACGAAATTCAGCACTTTTTTGATAAAGGACTTTTTTAAATTCTTCTATTTCTCTGGTAATAACCTTGAAAATTTTCCCGGCCATCATTCCTTTTTTGAATGAGTTAGTTGGGTTATTTTTGCTCTTGGTGAACTCGTTTTTAACTTCGCCATTATTATCAAATTCATTTAGTCAATTCTTCATATTTTTTTCATAAGCGGCAAGATATTTTTGCTCAATCTCATTAATTTCAACACCAATTACAATTTTCCTTTCTACATTATCTCTTCTCACTAGAGTAATTTCCTTTTTTTCTAATTCGGTTTTGCCGATAATTAATTTGAAAGGGCAACCCTCTTTGTCGGCTTGTAAAATGTTTAAGTTAAATTGTTTATTTTTGTTGTATAATTGGCAGCGAAAATGAGGGCTTAACGATTCATATATTTCTTGATAATAATTAACTAATTCTTCATTTTCTCCGATTAGAATAAAAGCGATTTGCACGGGTGCGATATCAAAAGGCAAAATTAAACCTCAATTGTCAGCATGAGTTTTGGCAACCGCTCCAATAGTACGGGTCGAAGTACCCCAAGAAGTAGAAAAAGGGTATTGAAATTTATTAGAAGCGTCTTGATATTTTACTCCCATCAAACGGCAAAAATTATCTCCAAAATAATGGCTAGTAGCAAATTGTAAACATTGTCCGTCTGGTAATAAGCACTCCACGGTGTAAGTTTCTAAGGCTCCAGCAAACTTTTCTCCTTCCGTTTTCTGACCAACTATTACTCCCAAACAAAGAGCATTTTCGGCATAGTCTTGATAATCAGAAAGGATATTTAAAGTAAATTGTTTGGCTTCTTCGGCACTACTGTGTATCGTATGGCCTTCTTGTCAAAGGAATTCAGTATTACGAAAAAAGGGACTAGTATTTTTTTCGGCACGAAAGACCGAACACCATTGATTATAGAGAAGTGGCAATTGTCGATAACTGCCGAGAATTTGCCGATATCAATCATAAAATACTACTTCGCTAGTGGGACGCAAAATTAGTGGACTTTCTAATTTTTTTTCACCAATTTTTTCCACATAGAAACACTCTGGACTAAATCCAGCAACATGCTTTTTCTCTTTTTCTAGTAAGTTGAGCGGAATAAGAGTTGGCAAAAGAACATTTTGTACCCCTCGATTCACAAATTTTTTATCCAAAACTTTCTGAATATTTTTTCAGAGAGCATAACCGTGCGGGGGCAAAATAAAACTCCCTTTGTTGGGACCATAAAAAAATAATCCGCTTTCACTTAGTAATTTACTATATTTATCTTCTTTTTCCATAATTTTATTAAATTTTTAATAACAACACTATATTAATTTCCTTACTAGGGTAAAATGAAGGGTTGTAATTGATTTCAAATTTCTTGATAATTACTTGCTGGAACAATATTTATTTTACCTCGCACTTCGGATGGAATATCCTCTAAATCTTTTTCATTACCTTCGGGAATGAAAACAACTTTCAATCCTTTCCGATGGGCAGCATTAATTTTTTCTTGTAATCCACCAATTGCTGAAACTTGCCCATGTAAGGTAATTTCACCTGTCATCCCAATATCCTTATCAATTCTTTTCTTAGTTAAAGCAGAAATAATGGCAGTGGTTAGAGCAACTCCGGCACTCGGACCATCTTTGGGTATGCCACCTTTGGGGACATGAATATGAATATCATTGTCGTTGAAGTTGAAATTTTTGTTAATCCCGAATTTTTCAAAATTAGCTTTAACATAGGAAATTGCCACTCTAGCAGATTCTTCCATGGTTTCTTTTAAATTGCCAGTAGTGATAATTTTTCCTTTGCCGGGAGGAAAGCTTACTTCAATTGGCAAAACATCGCCTCCTCCCATTTCTTGATTATAAACGCTTAAACCATTCACTACTCCGGGCACTGAATAATCAGCTTTGAAAGTTAAATCAGAAGTTGTAGGTTTACCTAAATATTCTTGAACCTTTTCTAAAGTAATGTTTTCAGTTTTTAACTCTCCCACGGCCATTTTATAGGAGAATTTAGAAAAAATTTTGTTAAGTAATCTTTTTAAATTTCGTATTCCAGCTTCCCAAGTATAATGATCAATAATTTCTTGAATGGCTGAACTTTCGAAAGTTAATTGCTCTTTGGTAAGGTTATAATGATCTAACAATCCAGGAACTAAATAATTTTCAGCAATTGATTGTTTATCATTTTTAGTATAGGAAGATATTTCAATTATTTCCATTCGATCCCGCAAGGGTCCAGGAATATTCTCTATTCGGTTAGCAGTGCAGATAAACATTATTTGGGATAAATCAACTCTAGAAGCAGAAACGATAGATTATTTATTAATTTTGCTGAAAAAAATATTGAGTTAGACTTGAAACTT